TATTATTTCGCTGGTTAAACCCCTTGCATCTGATGATATGAATGATGAGCTTTGCAAACCGTTTTCGGAACAAGAGATTAGTGATGCGCTTTTTCAAATGGGACCGTCAAAAGCTCCGGGTCCGGATGGTTTTCCTGCAAGGTTTTTCCAACAAAATTGGGGTTTGGTCAAAGAGGATATTGTTAAGGCTGTCCAACAGTTTTTTAATTCTGGAATTATGCCAGAGGGGATAAATAACACAACTATTGTTCTCATCCCAAAAGTTAAGAATCCTCGGTCTATTAAAGAGTTCAGGCCGATCAGTTTGTGTAATGTTATCTATAAGATTATTTCCAAATGCCTTGTTAACAGACTGCGACCGCTCCTTGATGGTATGATTTCGCCTACTCAAAGTGCATTTATTCCGGGAAGGTTAATTTCTGACAATGCTCTCATAGCTTTTGAATGTATGCATTCGTTAAGTACACTGAAAGATTTTAGAGGGGAATTTTGCGCATATAAGTTGGACTTGGTGAAAGCCTTTGATCGGGTGGACTGGCGTTTCTTACAATGTATGATGGGGGCTTTGGGTTTTGCACCGACGTGGATAAATTGGATTATGGCATGTGTTACATTAGTGAAATTTGCGGTGCGCTTCAACGGACAATTGTTGGAGACGTTTTCACCTACTCTGGGCTCAGGCAGGGAGATCCTTTATCCGCGTATTTGTTCCTATTTGTTGCCGAGGCACTTTCTTTACTGCTTAAAGATGCTTCTACCAGGGGAGTTCTTCAGGAGTTCCATTTGAATAGACAAGCCATGGGTATTTCTCACTTGTTGTTTGCGGACGACGGTATGTTATTTTTCAAAGATTCCATTGATCAAGCAATTGTCATTAAATATTTTGATGGAGTACGAGAAAGGGACTGGGCAGTTATTAAGTCCTGATGAGTGTTCCATGATGTTTGGGAAAAAGTGTAGTTTGGAGAACCAAGTGGCTATAATGGTAATCTTAAAAATTATGGTCGATGGGTTCGAAGATAAATATCTTGGACTTCCGGTTCCTGAGGGAAGAATGAAAGCTGGTAAGTTTCAATCTACTAAAGAAAAGGTTTTGAAAAGGCTCTCTGACTGGATAGAGAAATACGCTTCTTGTGGGGTGAAAGAGGACTTAATAAAATCAGTTATTCAAGCTCTACCTGTGTATGCTATGGGTATTTTTAAGTTCCCGGCTTCCCTTTGTGAGGAGTTAACCCAGATTATCAGAAATTTTTGATGGGGAGATGAGGAAGATCGAAGAAAAACACATTGGTTAGCATGGGACAAATTAACAAGGTCTAAAGGTAAGGTTGGTATGGGATTCCGGGATCTCAGATTATTTAACAAGCCCTCTTAGCCAAACAAGCGTGGAGGTTATTGGTTTATCCGGATTCGTTGTGTGCTAAGCTGATGAAGGCAAAGTATTATCCTCAGGGACATATTCTTGATACAGTGTTTCCTCAGTCTGCATCACTCACTTGGCAAGGTATTATGCATGGTCTGGAATTACTTAAGAATGGCGTCATTTGGCGAGTGGGTGATGGATCTAGTATTAATATTTGAAGGGGTACTTGGTTATCCAGGAGCACTGGACTTAAAATTAGCTAAAAGGCATAATACTAGATTGAGATGGGTCTCTGATTTGTTCTTGAGGGAGAGAAAGGTATGGGATGAAAATTTGATTAAGTACCTTTTCTATCCCCATGGCGGAGAGGAGATTCTTAAGATTCGTATTCATGCTTATGGGGATGGGGATTTATTGCGTGGCACTATGAGAAGAACGGTATATTTTATGTTAAAAGTGCGTACAATTTAGCGATTAAATTGAAGGATAGTCAAGATAAATTGTGTCAATCTAGTGGAGATCCATGTGGAGAAAGAAGGCTCTGGAATTTAATTTGGAAGGCTAATATCCCTCAGAATAAGGATTTTTGCCTGGAGGGCAGCAACCAATAGCTTGGCAGTCCAGACCAATAGAGTTAAGCACCATCAGATTACTTCAAGTATGTGCTCTATTTGTGGAGTAGAAGATGAAAGCACTTTTCATGCCCTCGTTACTTGTTCTAAGGCTCGTGCTCTGCGACTCGCCTTGAGAGAATCGTGGAATATTCCTGATGAAGAGTGGTTCAAATTCTCGGGGCCAGATTGGCTATTGATTCTGTTGGATCATTTGAGCCTGCAACAGCGAGAGCAAGTTTTGTTTCTTTTCTGGTGAGCATGGCACCTGAGAAATGATTTAATTTTTGGAAAAGGGCAGGAATCCATTGCTGCTTCTGCAATTTTTGTGGTAAACTATTGATCTTCTTTAACGTCATGTCATGAGACTGTCGACGTTGTTCCTAGTAACAAAGGTAAAGAAAAAAAATGGAAGGTGCTACACCAGTTTTCGCAACATCACAACAACATGAGGGATGGAAACCTCCACCAGAAGATTATATCAAGATCAATGTCGATGCCAGCTATGTGGAGAGTATTGATGCAGCCAGTGTGGGGGTGGTTGTGAGGAACTCATCTAGCGAAGTTATTATATCTTCGTGGGACTTTCTGGGTCAGTGCTACAACGTGAATGAAGCTGAGCTGCGTGCTTACCTGGCAGGCCTTTATATAGGTATTACTCTTCACCAGTCCATTATTTTAGAGACTTATTGTGCTTTTGTCCGTTCTTTCCTTACAAATGAGAATCTTGACAGGTCCTCGCTCGTTGATCTGAAGAAAGAAGCCTTGAGTACATCGAAGATGCTTAAGAATTTTAAAATTACGAAAATTAATCGTAGCGTCCCGCCTTGTGTGGCAAATTTTGTAATGAACGATTGTAATAACATTATTATTAATTAATGTATGGGTTTTTTTCAAAAAGATGAGTTGTTTTTTCTTTAATTCATGTTTTTCTTTCAAAATCGACGAACGTTTTATTAAATTAGATCTTTTTTCAAATTTGATTAACTTTTAAAAAAATATGAACTTTTTTCAAAATTATTGATTTTTCCCAAAATCGATGAACTTTTTAAAATTGGTGAACTTATTTTTAATATTTTTTCCCAAATTCATAAAGTTATTTTTCAAATACTTGAACTTTTTTCAAATTCTGGAATTTGTTTTATTTTTTGATTAGTCAATGGTCTCACTAACCACTGGTCAACAGAAGAATGAACGAACGAGCAGAAAAGAAATCGAGACGAGCGATCTAACTGCGACCGAGCGTTCGAGCAGGCATTCGCGCTTAATGGGCTTGCCCAGTGCACGTGAGCGCCAACCGCCGAAGTCGCACCTGAAGCGCCAATTAGGAGCTCCCGCGACAACCTGCACCCTGCCAAGGCGCCAACGTCCAGGACGCAAACGGCGCAAGGAACTGGCGTGGAAGAACTGCGTGTTATCGTCGCCCTCACACACTGTCCCGGCACTTGCCTCGCTGCTTCTACAGAGAATGTATTGAAATGTTGTAATCTTTCTGGACAAGAGCGGTCAATTCGCTGTGGACATCAATCCGACTTTCTATATAGACCTGGCCAAACGGGCCGGCCCGTGCTAATCGTGCTTGGCCTGGCCGTGTCGTGCCGGCCCACGGGCGCTGCTCCATGGCCCAGACACGGCCCTATTAGTAAACGGGCCGGCTCGTTGGCCCGTTTACCATGTTGGGCTGCATATTTTCAGCTTGTTGACTGGTTTTTAGGCCTATTGGGCTATATTTTAGGTAATACATATATAAAAAAAATTCTGAAAGTTATATAAAAAAACAGGCCGTGCCGTGCTGGCCCGCATGCTCAGGCTCCAAGCTCAAGCACGGCCCATTTAGCCCGTGCCGTGCCTGGCCCGTGGCGGGCCATGCCGCGTGCTCGCAGGCTGGCCTGTTTAGCCCGGCCCGTTTGGCCAGCTATGTTCCTATACTTGCTGCATTGTTGTTCTGCAGAATGATTGATTTGTACTATGTGACGTGTCTTCTAAGCACAGACTGGATCGGAGGGAGTATTCTTCATCTGAACCATTTTGGATGTCTGAAGATAATTCAGAAGACACTTGACCCAACGCATCACTTGTCCTCCCATTTCCATTGCTTACTGGAGTTAACTTTTTTAGGATTCTAGGATTCACAGGTCCTTGCCCTCCCCTCATGATTGAAAAATCATCTATCTATACACGGAAATAAACCTGCTAATGCAGGCTTTTGCAGGATCTGGCTCTAACACACTGCTGTAAGGGCATCAAGACCAAGTAAGCAACTGATGCTCCCAGGTTTGAAGATGAAGTAAACTCTCCTATTCTAGAACAACAGTGGTACGCTGATAAGCTGGTAAGTAAGAAATGTTGCTGGGTAATGTAACGTTTCTGCAGTAACAAAGCAAATGGCCTTCGATGATCACTGACACGAACCACATGACCAAATGATTCAGTCATTGTAGATCCTTCACATCGCAAATTAGACTACAAAGTTAATCATCTGGAAATCCAAATGGTCCAGCGCAAGAATGGCGAATCTGTTTATTAGTATTCCACTCTAGGCCCATAAATCCACCTTTAATCGGAGCATTCTCTGTCTGAAATGCAGACTGAACTCTGGAAATTTCGTTCTGTACTTCAGTACAAGCAACCAAATCTTGCACGACAGAAGGAACAACCGACGACACACCACAATTGCAACAGCCTGGCGGTAAAAATCACAACAGAACCACAATATTTGCGTAGACACAAGATTGGACTCAAGCATCAGATCAGATGCGAACAGCTTTGTTTGACAATACAGCTAATCCTACGAAAGAAACAGCGGAGATAAACATGGGGATTTCATTTCAGCTAAGTTTTCTCGACAGCAAGACTCCTGCGCACAGGCGGATAAGCACATCGGAATTTGCACGGGGGCGAGGACGAGCCTAGCCGCCGAAGCCGTAGAGGGTGCGTCCCTGGCGCTTGAGGGCGTAAACGACGTCCATGGCGGTGACGGTCTTGCGGCGGGCGTGCTCGGTGTAGGTGACGGCGTCGCGGATGACGTTCTCGAGGAAGATCTTGAGCACGCCGCGGGTCTCCTCGTAGATGAGGCCGGAGATGCGCTTCACGCCGCCCCGCCTGGCGAGGCGCCGGATCGCCGGCTTGGTGATGCCCTGGATGTTGTCGCGCAGCACCTTCCTGTGGCGCTTGGCGCCGCCCTTGCCGAGACCCTTGCCTCCCTTGCCGCGCCCGGACATGGTCGCTGACGAACTCGCCTTGGCTCGAGCTGCGAGCGGATGGAGGTTGAGGAGCGGTGGTGATTGCTGTGGTGATTTGCCGTAAGGGGGGGTGGGGATTTTAACGGGGGCGAGAGGTGGGAGGAGGCGTGTTCCTGCCGTTCGATGCAGATGGAGCGCACGGTTGAGATCGCGACCCGCGAGAGAGATGCCGCGGATCGATAATCTGGCGGGAGGCCCCGGCTGCTGGAGTGGCGGGGCGGGCCTGAAATTGAGGCGCCAGCTCAAAAAATTTAGGTTTTTTTTTTCGGGTGTTGGGTGGCTGGTCGCGGGGTTCTGCGTTTCCTCCTTTATAATATTGGATTGGATATATTTTGAAAAACGTTTTGGACCGGCGCGCCGGCCGAAGCTTAGGCCGGTCGCGTGCTGTG